TATTTTTAAATCTAAAAAATTTTTATATTTTCTTCTAAAAAAAGAAATAACTTATTATTAGAAATGAATTATTTTTGATAATATATAATATATACAATTACTGTATATATATAATCCATTAAACTTGAACATGTTCATGAACTTTTGAACTAAACCTGAACTAAACTTGAACTTGCTTAAAAGTTCAATATTAAACCTGAACTAAACTTTTTTAAAAAAGGTTCAAGTTCAAGTTCAGTTCAATTTGAACTAAACTTGAACTTGGCTAAAAGTTCAGTTCAGTTCAGTTCATAGGAATACTATATTGTATAAATTATATTTATTAAATTTAGTAAGCTTATATGAGTATTATTAGAAAAGCCTGTTATTGAAAATGAATTATAATAATTAATTAATCATATAAAAGATCAAATATCACAATAATTACATATTTTAAATAACAATTAAAATTTTTTAATATTCAAATTATGGTTTTTAGATATTGCCAATTAAAAATGTTAAAACTAAATTATAGTTGTAAAATGGTTTACTACAAAAAAGTTAACTTGTAATTTTCTTATAATTATTTATACCACTATATATTCATTATGAAGTAATTATGATATATAATATATTTATAATATCTACTAAATTAGGAGGTCATCTAAAACCAGGTTTGCTCATGTGATTTACAACCAATCAAGTTGTAAATTTTAATTTACCTGGATCAGCCTGATGAAACAAAAACAAAGAAAAAATGTAAAAATATAAAAAATACAAGAAATGAGTATTAAAGCCTACCTCAGGCACTAATAAAAAAAGTTGGAAAGACAATTTTACTTATAAGCCTTGCCCTAACCTTAACCTCTAACTAACTCTTACTTTAATTTTAATTAAATAATCAAAAATATATAAACATACCAGGCTTTAGCCATCCCCTAAATTAGGTATTATCTAAAACTATATACTTATATAACTTTTTTATATAAATTAACCAACTAGAATTATAAGATTTATTTATACAGATCTGCTCAAAGAAGTTAGAAAATAAAAAATGCAAAATGATAAAAAACAATAGTCTCAACCTATCTTGAGATACTAATTAAAGATATTAGAAAAGCAATTTTATCTATATTCTTCTTTTTATATTAACAATACAAAATTTACATATTTGGAACTAATTTTATAATCTTTAGAATTTGCTATTTCCTTTATATTATATATTGAATAAACTTCTGAAAGATGTCACAAGGTTGTATAAAGTTGTACACTATTTTGAATAGTTTGTTAAGGTTTTTAAAAATCATGATGATAAAGATTTTTCAAATTATATGATAAATTGTTCAAAAAATTGTTGGTTTTAATAGAAACAACTGCTACTTTTATTATTATTGGTTTTGTATCCAAATTATCAGTTTTCAAAGTTTTGTTTTAGTGTTTATATTATTTTAGACAATAGCTGAATTATTATTATAGCTTATAATTTAAAAAAATATCAAAATATATTTGCATAAATTTTATTTTACTAGAGAAAATTATATTTTTTGATAAAAAAACTTATAGTCAATTTGATGATATTATCGATTTTTGAGAATTAGCAAAAGGTCTTGTACCAGAATTGTCTCAACTGGCATTACAATTATTTAAAATATATATTTACTCAACCTTTATTAAATAGTTATAGTCAACAATAGACTTTTTAAATACAAATAGTAAAATCAGTTATCTATATATATAAATATTATTCTTAATTTAAGTTTATATAACTAACCTAAGTTCTATATTTTAAGTATAAAAAAGTGCTTGCAATAAGCCAATTGCATAGTGATATTTTAAGCAAATAAAAATATAATAATATTGAACAATCTGAATAATAATTTAAACAAATTTATATTACAGCCTCTATACAATCTAATGATAATAAAGATATTTTACAATAATTATAGAAACTTTTTTCTACAAGTGATAATCAAATTAGTTTACCAACTACTGACAATCTACTAATTGAATTTGACAATCCACAAATTAAATCTGACAATTCATAAATTGAATCTGATAATCTAGCAACTGAACCAAGTAAAATAACTAAATTAATTAAAGTAGCAGAAGGCATAATAAATAATTCTAAAGCCTCTGATGATAAAGAGCATTGGTCAAATATAGTTGAAGATTGGATTATAATATTGGATCTTGAAAATCATTTAGAAAACAGTCAAATTGTTAATAATAAACTATCTAAATTTAAATTTTGTAAATGTATTATATTATTCATCTGGCAGATAATCTATTAGCAAAATAGAATCTGTCAAAATTATTTAATAATTAATTGGATACTCTTATTTCTTTTGTCTTTTAGTGAATTTAATCTATTACAATTTAAGGGATTAATTAAAATTTATACTACAATCTGCTTTGCAAAAAATGGTTTAAAAAATTATTACCTAACTTTAAATTGTGATCTTACATGAATATAACAGCAGAACAATTTAAAATTATTATCAAGTAAGTTATAATTATTTATATTTTATTATTTTAAAATTAAATATATTAATAGCATAATTTTTAATTTATTATATATTCATGACAGAATAATTTCTTGTTTCAACACCATGTTAGTTTCTTGTAAAATTTTTTTGAAGAATTGGCCATGCGTCTTGAAGCTTTTTAGTTAAGGCAATTAACTTATTAGTTTTATTTATGGTTATTTATATAAGTTAAAGCTTGTAAACTATTAAATTTCAACCGTAAGTAGATTTTTTAACCTGACTTTATAGTTATAATAAATTGTTATTCGTACTAATATAAAATCATGCCGAGGATAAAGTAGTCCTAGCTGTAGGTCCCTGTAGTAATTTTTGTAACTCATTATATTAATGTAACGCATAAATTATTCAATAAAGACCGAGACCAGGCCTCACTCTATAAAATAAAATAAAATAAAATAAAAAAACTAATATAAAATCATGTATGGTGATTTGATTTTGTAGTATATGATTCTTATAGTAACTCTGAATAAGAAAAATGGTTAATAATTGGGTTACATAATCAACTGTGTAAATCAAAATTAGTAAATTGCTAGTAAATGTTTTTTTTTTTGGATTTCAATATCGGTATATGGATCGGAAGAGAAATCCATCAATTTTATATAAAATATGAAGAACGAATAACATTATCATTATATTTTAATAAATCAATTCTTAAACATATTTATTATAAAGCTGTATAAAGTACTTTATATGCTAAAATTATAATAAAATTTAAATTGGAACTTATTTCGGAAGGGCTTTGTAATATTTTATTATTTGTATATTTGTCTTTTAAGTTTCTTTTAATGACATAAATTTGAGAGTCCCAGTGCTGGAGATTAAATCAAATATATAAATAATTATTTAGTTTTATAAAACTTGCAATCACGAACTCAATTTCTAAAAAAATATGAATTAATCAAATCTTAGATATTTAACATTTTGAATTATTGTTCGAATCTGACCAAGTTTTAACTGTTATTTCCACCAATAAAATTCAAATGACCCAATAGGTCATTTCATTCTTGATATGACCCAATGACCGTTCATTGTTCATTTGAGTTATCTGGGTCATTTCAGGTCATTTGCCAACACTACTTTTTTGATTCAATTAATCATGTATTATAATACCATATACTGTTATATCTAATTATTAGCTGGCGGCGAACCGCCACACGATCATGTGTTAGTTATTTTTATCACTAATGTTATTAAATTATGTAGTTGTTGCTTTTATAATTCTAAGTTTAATTTTATTATATCGCAATCTTTATAATTATCGAAATTATTTTATTTTCGAAAAATAAAATTAAGTTTTGTATTTAAAATTAATTTACATCCCTAGACCCGGCCAGTAAAAAATTGCGGGTTCTTCAGTCTGGGCTTATTGTAATTATAACCCGATCCTGTCAAACCAAACCTGGCTAATAATTAACGTTTATAATTATTATGTATAAATTAAAAAACATTTTAGCGGGAAAATTTGCCTGCTATCACTCTAAATACGTGTCAAATCTTATTTAAAAAAATTTATTTAAAATTGATGTTATAAACTAGTATAGTTCCCACCTATCAATAACATTCTTAATTGTTCCATTATTTTTAAATGATTCCTCTCTTGCATCCTTAATTTGTAATGTGTAAGTACTCATGTATCTACAGCAATTTTCAGGACCACCTATAAAATAATCGGCTTGTATTAACATTAATTTATCAAAGATTCCTTGGATACCGCCACCTCTAAGTTCCTCTTGTAATTGGTTCGTTTTTGTAGCGTTTAGTGATGATTTAAGATAATCTAGCGCGTGTGTTGAAACCCAAGTGTTTATATTAAGTGTAGAATTTAAAATTCTCATAACTATATGGTGTTCTTCATGTATATGATGAAATGTATCTGACTGTGCCTTATTATGCATATATTCGGCAAGTGGATAATCCGTAGCCAAATAAATATTTGTAATCCCAAAGTTTCTTATATAGGTAACAAGACTTTCAGCGCATTTTGACATTAGATCTAATTGACCTGATTCCATACGCCAATGAATTCCAATATATGGTTTTAATTTGTTTGCAAAGTTCGAAGCCGCATTGGTTATATGACTTGCGTATGGCATCGGTGCAAGTCTTTCAAATATCGGACCTCGTATTCCTTCCTGCGTTATCAGCATAACTTCAGCATTACTTTCTAATACGTCTGATAAAAATTGGTTTAGATCATTATTTTCACTACCATATTTCGGGATAGACCATTATTACCGATGCCTATTCGTTTAAATGTTGTTGAATTATTTAATTTTAAATTAAATTTATCCATGTGATATTTTTTTAAAAGTTTACCAATGTATGGGGTGTCATATTGAATTGTATAATTTGGATTAGAATTAGACTTTGAATTTTCAAGCGATACATGTATGGTATCTAATTTACTGTACCGCTCTTTGGCCCATTTTTGAAATTCATGTTGTAAAATAAATTTTACTTGCGGAAATTTTTTGCTTAATTCATCTACGTTATAATAGAAGTCAAAAGGAAAATTTTTAAGTGATGATATACGAGATCCTCCAACGTTAGTTAACACCATTGTGCGGCCCATTTGTTGCGCAATTTGTATGAAAGAGTAAAAATGTCTATTGGATTGAGATTCTTGCTCTTCAACAGTATACGCGAATAAAAATTTACATTCATTGGCGCCAAAATCTTTTCGATTTATCTTGATGTCTAGTTCTAATGTTATTTCTTCAATTTCCTTTAGATAAGTGCAGAAAATGCTCCAAAGGGTATAAAGAAATAATATAAATGCTGCAAAAATATATAAAGTTGGCCTTAATGATGTCGTAACTTTCATTTTTCTAACTAATACACACTTAAGGTACAGTACATATGTGGGCTTTTTAAATAATTTTTAAGGTTAGGGTTAGGATTTTTAGTATTATTATTACGTTCTAATCTAAATGGATTCAGAACCTCCGAACCCTATTATTGTTTCATTCTCAATAGTTCATTTAACATAGCATCAGCATAAACAATTATCGTACTTTTCAAATTACTATATATAATTAAAATTTCTCTAATACATAATTTAAATTATTAGTTTGTGAATGTAAGTTTTGGTAAATTTAATGTAAATATAAAAAAATTCACAAAATGAAAAGAATTTTTTTTTCTAAATTATCGCGCTTTTTACACTAAAATCTTCAAAACTTTCTAAATTTACAATTTAACTAAATTTCTTGCCTATAAATAAAATTTTAAAAAATTTTTGTTATCCGACTTTCCTGATCCTGCACCTAGTAATACACAGAAACTGATTATTGGTATTGCTAAATAGTGATGGGAATCTTAGGCTTGCTTTCAAAATAAATTAAAATTGAATAATGCCAGCTTGCTTTTTTACTACATAAAAAAAAAATCAGATAAAAGCACCCATGAAATTACATTGAATAGTGTAGGAATTCTGTTTTTCCTTATTTTATTTTACTTACTTGCTTAAATTATTTTTTATTTTTATTTTTTTTAAAAACACTTTTTTTTGAAATTGTAAGAATACAAATAAATTACAATACAATATACGAATCATTATGCTTATTAAATTGGAGACGGATTTAATTTTTATTTTTTTTTACTTATGGAATATTACATTCTTAAAGAGTGCTTTAAACTGTATAAATACAATTGAAAGTGATTGACCAATCAGAGGCCTGGCCTCGGTCTTTATTGAATAATTATGCGTTACAATCTACATCCTTGTTATAACATAACTAACCTATTTACGTAAGGTACGATGGGTTTACTAATTTTTCCTACCAATTCTACCACTCTGATTGGTTCTACTAATTTTTCCTACCAATCCTACTACACTGATTGGTTCTACTAATTATTCATATATCGGAGTATATACCTCATTAATCAATGTTATAATACTTCCAATAGCGAAGTTGCGGGAAAATTAATAAACCAGGGTACGATCCAATGTCATAAATATTTTACTAAAAAAGTATCGGTTGCTAGAGCTGCCAACACATAAAATACACTGTATTTTTCTTATATTCAATTGCCAAGATATAACTATAACTTGATCTCTCACCATTCTTTCTAGAGAATTTAATTCACTAGTAATTACGACCTGAAATTAAACACAGCAAAAAACTCATAAATAAGGATGGGGATCAATTCTAAAAACCACAATCGATGGTCGATTTTCTGAGCTGATTAAATAATAATCAACAAATTTATTGATCATTTTCAGAGTACCGAACCTTTTTAGAATTTACTATAATTGGCTGTCTTATTTTGAATATAAATACAATAATTATCATTATGTACTGTACATACTTTACCGTATGCAGTATGTACGTTAGATCATACTATGAACCTTTTTTTTTAGCTTTTTTAGTTAGTCTCTTATCTAGATTTCTAGATTTACAAAATATTTTGTGCTTCTTTTAGTTTTACTTGATTTTTTACGAGACATATGAATTGATTTAAATAAGAATATTTCATTATCAATAATTGGTATTTCGCTG